AGTATAAATAAAGTTAGTTTAGTTTAGGTTTCCTGCTGTAGTAACACTGGATCAATAAGAGATGATCCTTACTGGACCTCTAGGAAGAACAGTTTAGAACTGATAGAGATATTCAGTATAAATAAAGTTAGTTTAGTTTAGGTTTCCTGAAATTACGGTTGCCATTGAGTAATTTTAAAAAGAACAAGGAGTTCTTACTTATACATCGCCAAAAACCGGAACTTAATCACGGAACTAGAGCCTCTAAGGAACTTGTGATATTTAATTAGCGCGTAATTTGATCCGCTTAACTTGTAAATATATATCTCAGTATTTTTCAATAGCGTCATTCCTGATGATGACTGAAACCTAGTCGAAACGTTGAATAAAATGTTAACTATATTCGGAGTGTCTATTGTTTTGTTCTTTAGGTTTCCTCCTGTAGTAACACTGGATCAATAAGAGATGATCCTTACTGGACCTCTAGGAAGAACAGTTTAGAACTGATAGAACTATCCAGTATAAATAAAGTTAGGAGCCCTTACCGCGAGTACAATTTAGACAGAGCTATTTAACATTGTCTATATATTTATATTAAGTATATTTATATTAAGTATATGGAAGAAATGCAAGGGCACCAGTTATTGACACATTGTTTGGTGGACAGCTTGTAAGCTCCGTAGAATGTCGTGAATGTCATAAGGTAAGAAGCTTTCCCACGTTTTTTTTTCAGAGCAGAGAAGTAGAATTCTAGTAGAAACCAGTTTAGATAGTAAAGTTCATAACCATCACAGTGATACGAGAAACTCTTTTTGTGTTATTTTGGCGACGAAAAATTCGTTGTCTTTTACAGTATCACAGTAAATATGAACCATGTTGTTTTCTGAAATGGAAGACTACATGCATGTATTTTTAAAATTAGGTTTCAACGATTATGGAGAGTTTCTTTGACCTGTCCTTATCACTGGCGATAAACAACCAGACAGTCTCGGTAAGTATACCCCTGGTATACCCTAAAATAAACGACGAGCGTTTGAATTATTGCTTTCAAAAAACTTGCCGACGTTTTTTAAAAGTACACAGCTCGCGAGCCTTGTAAATATTTTAAAACAGGCCGTATGGCGGTCATGATATTAAGGAAAAATGCAAGCGAAGTTTTGATAATTAGAAGAGAACGAAACAAGACTTAAACGTCTCGAGAAAACTTAAGATGTTTTCAAAGTGTAAACAATATGGCTTCCCAGAATGTTGCAGTAGTTTACGTTAAACATGACGTATAAAATGCACGCGAAGCAATCCTAATATGTCGTTAAAATCGATGAATACATGACAAAATAACTGTGAAAAACTCTACTATCACTAGAAATGCATAGACAAAATTTCACACAATAAATGTGCACAAAATTGCGCTTAGCATTTTCGTCTGTCTTCGTGTCAGATTTTGTGGCAAGTCACAGCAGATTTATTGTTAAAAAGAATTTAAACGCTTATGAAGGACATAATTTTAAACTTTTACATTTTAAATTCAGCATTTTAAACTTTTCGTTTTAATTTGTGTGCTTTCTAAATGTAGAAACAAGCGAACAAAATGTCAGCGACAAAAAAGAAGCAACCGCCAGCGCAAGTTAGTAAAAAGAAGAACTCCACTGAGAAAGTGGACAAAGAAACGGAGGAAAAGCCGAAGAAGCAACTGCCAGCGCAAGTTACTGACAGGAACAACTCCACTGAGAAAGTGGACAAAGAAACGAAGGAAAAGCCGAAGAAACAACTGCAGGCGCCAGTCACTGACAAGAAGAACTCTAGCAAGAAAGCGGATAAAACAACAAAAGAAAAGCCGAAGCCTCCACCTTCTAAATATCAATTGAAAAAGATGAAGAAAGAAACAAAGAAAGTAAGTTTGTATCTAATGGCTTAAAAATCCACTCCAGGTTACTACAGGAGGAAACCTAAATTAAACTAACTTTATTATGGATAGCTCGTCAGTTCTAAACTGTTTTCCGTACAAGTACAGTAAGGATCATCTCTTATTCATCCAGTGTTACTACAGGAGCAAACCTAACCTAAACTAACTTTATTTATACTGGATAGCTCTATCAGTTCTAAACTGTTCTTCCTAGAGGTTCAGTAAGGATCATCTCTTATTGATCCAGTGTTACTACAGGAGGAAACCTAAACTAAACTAACTTTATTTATACTGGATAGTTCTATCAGTTCAGATCATCCTTTATGTTGCTATGCTTCTTCAGGATTCCTGCATATTGCAGGAATCAAACCTTGATCAAATAGATGAAAGACATTCAATTCTTTTCAATTTTTTTTCTGTAGAGCAAAAAGAAAGGTAGAAGACGCCTGAACAGCACGTCGAGTACGGGGAAGAAACAAAGCGAGGTCGACGAAGACGTTCACACAGACGAAGATGAGAATGAGAACCCAAACAATGATGTCATAGAAACATCGGCTGATGATGTCATAGAAACATCGGCTGATGACGTCACCGAAAATTCGGTTGATGACGTCACCGGGACATCGGTTGAAGAGGATGTTACGAGTGTGACAGAAAACGAATTAATAGATTTGGCAAAGGTTGATGATAGAGTCAAATCGGAACCTGTCGTGGAGTCGTCGGATTCGGATTTTGACATCAACAAGATACGTGACTGTGCTACGTCACAGCATGACGTCATTGATACGTCACCAGATGGAGTCACAGCGACGTCAGGAGATGATGAAAACGTAACACATGATAGTCGTATTTTAAACTTGGGAGAAGAGTCTTCCAGTATTCATTCCGACAAAATGCATAATTCTGAAGAAAATAAAGACTTTACTGAATCAAGCAATGAAGACAATACAATGAAAAATGAAAAGAATATGGATGTGTTAAGCGAAGAACCCTTAGTCAATGGCGGTGATCTTTCAGAAAGCAGTCAATCGAGTGAAAATATTAATGGCATTTCTAAAAATGAAGAGTTTGGAACACCAGTTCAAAACAATGAAATTTCTTCAGAGAATCAAATACGAGATAGCGATGATGGTAAAATTTGTTGTGGTGGTGCATTGGATGCTCATGACTGCAAGACAGAAAGCTTACTGCAATCAAATGGCGAAGATGTATTAAATTCCAGCGACAAACAGCAGAAAGATTGCCAAAACAACGAAATTTCGTCAGAAAATATACTTGGGGGTTCCGAGAGTGGTATTAATGGTAAAACTGGCTGCATTGATGCATCGGATGGTAAAGATTGCAAGAATGAAAGCTTACTGCATTCAAATACGGCAGATGTACCGAATTCTACTGACGAGGGACAGACACTATGCTATACTTCACCCATATCTCATAATCTAAGTAACGGTTCTGATAACGATGTTGTACTGGCTGAAAATAAAACTGGTTTACCTATCGATAACAAAGCTGAATATATATGCCCTAACTGTGAAACATCAGACATGAACGATATTTGTGTCAATTCTATTCAAATTAAATCAACAGGCCTGTCTCAAGATGGCGACGCCGGCGGGATAAATTCAGAAGAAAGCAATCAAATTCCCGCTAGTGAAATTGCTAACGGTGAAACTGGCCAAGCACTAGAAAACAAACTGTCTAATTTATCGCTAGAAAGCAACAAAGGTAATTCAAATCGAAGTCATGAAAGTCCTGCGTTTGTTATAAAATTTGAAAACGATGATGCTGACAAATTAACACAAGATAAACTTTCTAATTTATCAACAGACAACAACAGGGGTAGTTCAAATGGAAGCCATGAAGATCCTGTGTCGTTTAACAAAACCGTTGAGACTGAAACTCACGAAACGACAGGCAGTGAATCTGATGATTTTACTGGAAACAAGTCGACCGTTTTACCACAAAATGGCGACGGCAAAAATTCAAAAGAAAACAAAAACGTTCTTGATTATGTTAACCAAATTGTGGATGATATCCTTGAAAGTTGTTTTCATAAAATATCAACTAGTTTATCAGAAGAAGCAAACAAAATGTCGCGTGCAAAATTTGAAACGGACATGTCTTTTGAGTGCAAAAAAATAAAGGAAGAATATAACAGTCCTGCTAATATTTCGCCCAAGGAAAACGATTTTAAGAAAACAATGTGCAAGGATGAATTTAAGAGTTCTGTTAATGACAGCGCGTTTAGCCAAACCGATGAAGAAAAAATTCAAGAATATGTAAAGAAAATCGTTGATGACGCGGTTAAACAGTGCCTTCTCAGTGATGCGACGACAACAAGACACGACAATTTATCCAAATTTGAAAATTTTTCGAAAGACGAGACGTCGGATTCCAGGAATATAGAAAATGATCCTGAAAATCTCGAATCCGTTCCGGGAACTGAGAATGTCAGCGCAATTTCAAGATCTGAAATATTACGTGGGAATCATTCGCTTGGTAGTATGGAAGCGATAAAGCCAAATGTAATGTCGGTAGAAAGTTGTTTAAAGAGGTTCTGTAGTCCGGAGATTCTCGATGGGGATAATATGTTTATATGTGAACAATGTAATCAAAATAACACCGAGGAAGAGGAAGAAGAAGAAGAGACGAACGATGAAGATGAAAAGGAGGACAGTGATGATGACAAAGGTTTGTGGCAATTTCAACATTTTGTGTGACATATTTTCAGGGCTGCAAATTACTGTCGGACATCGGACAATGTTCGAGCAAAAGTAATTTTGATCGGACATTGGTCCGATCAAAAAAATATATTGTCACATTATACATTTTTTTTTGCTTTGACAAAATCCGATTGCAAATTCACTCAATTTACATTTTGCAATAAAACTTACGAGGCATTCTAGCATTTTACTAACGTTGCGCCGGAATCGCTATACTTGTCTCGTGACTTATATATACCTATATATCTTGTGCAACGTATATATGTCCGACCAAATTCAAGTTATGTCCGACGAAAATTAAAAGTGATCGGACAAATGTCCTGTCAAGTCAAATATTTATTTGCAGCCCTGTCTTTTTGTGGAAGGCGCGCGCCCGACATTTAGGGACGGGTCATTATTTATGGTGGGGGGTGGCACAGAAGAGAAATGTTTTTCCTGGTAAAAATTTTGCTGACCCAACCATTAGAAAGCAAAAACTTTGATTACCAAACCTCAAATATCAATTAAAAAATAAATACCCACCCCTTGCCAAAACCTTTACAAAAGGATACCATTCAGTTGTCACACATGTCCTTTACCACTTGTGTGACACAAGTTTGATAACTAAACTTTCATGTTGTATGTACATGTACTTTCTTTGGAGACACCATTTGTCTCCCAACAAATCGGAAAATGATCAAGATAGTGACTCTGATTGATTTACATATTGTATTGACATACAACTGTTGACATTGCTTTTCAGTCTCCAATATTTAAGTGAGTCATGCTTTGAACAATAACTTTTTATTACCCAACCCTTGAGTTGTTTTGTTTTTCATTTACCCAACCTTTTATTCACTCAAAATTTAGTTTACCCAACCCTTTTCTCTTCGGTGCCACCCCCCGGCATAAATAATGACCGGTCCCTTAGTTTGAAAAGATTAGGGGGATATTTTGTATGTTACGTAACACGCGCTCAATACTAATGAATATCCTTTTCACTTGGTTAGGACTATATTAAATTTTTAAATTTTTCATACGTTCTCAAGCGGCAAAGTATGTTTAGTGCTTTGTCTGTAAAATTATGCTAGGATGAAGAGATTTTAGATGGTATGCCAAAGAGAAAATGATGTCTGAAGTGTACAAATATGGCGTCAATTTTACAGCATCAATGGCAGTAATTGTATTTAAATTGACAATATCTAACTACTGTTTTGTGTGTCCATCTCGGTCACGTGGAGTAAAGCGTTCATAAGGAAAATTCTACTCCAAGTTGACCAAGATTCCACCTAGCGCAAGCTGAGATCTCACCTAGCCAGTGGCCTGACTCGTTTCTAATATGAACATGCACAAATTGAATTTTATATGCTTTAATAAAGGCCATGTACATCTCACTTCTGCTAATAGCCTGTTTACCTTTCATACAGATACCACAAGCGAGAAGAAGACCAAACGAAAGCCAATTTACACCGAAGCGGTGAAACAACTCCTCATCAATGAAGCTCCGCCAATATTCACACTGCATTTGAAAAGGTTCCATCAAGTCGGATACTCTTTAAAGAAAATTCCAAAGCATGTCGATTTCCCATTGCTGTTAGACATTGCCCCGTTTTGCCACAAATCCAGCAAGGTGAGGAGTTCTATAATAGATTAAAAATATTCTAAATCTCTAATTACCTACACGCGTAAAGATCTTACAGCTTGTCAACAGATGTGTTCGCACTGCTTGTTCCCAGTTTGTTGACAAGTCTGGAACAAGTTGTTATCATCTTGTAGCAAGGTTGATGAGACCAACAGACTCGCAACAAGTTGTTCCAACAAGTCTGATATCGTCTGAACGTAACAAGTTGTTAACAAGTTGATGACAACAAGCTCGTAGCAACTTGTTACGAACAGCCTGTATTAGTCTTGTTGGAACAAATTGTAGCAAGTCTGTTACCGTCATCAACCTTGTAACAAGGTGATAACAACTTGTTCCAGACTTGTCACAACAACTGGGAACAAGCAGTGCGAACACATCCTGATATCGGCTTCACAACAACCTTGTTAACAACAAGGTTGATGACGGTAACAGGCTTGCTACAAGTTGTTCCAACAAGACTAATACAGGCTGTTCGTAACAAGTTGCTACGAGCTTGTTGTCATCAACTTGTTAACAACGTGTTACGTGCAGACGATATCAGACTTGTTGGAACAACTTGTTGCGAGTCTCTTGGCCTCATCAATAATAATGAAAACTTTATTGAATTTTTTACGTATATATACAATTGTAAATCTCACTACTGACTTAGGTAATTTACAATTGGCTACATGAATCACAGAGTACTACATATGTACTATTTACAGTAAAAACAAGAATAAAATGGGTATATGATTATATATATTGTTATATGTAGTTATTAATTTATAATAATAATAATAATAATAATTATAATTATATATATTAATAATTAATTATTATATGTAATACATGAACAAATTTTTATACTTTTTAGCTGGCAACAGATTCTGAAGGAAAGGTCCTCTATTCCCTATTTGGAATTGTTGAGCATTCAGGCAGTCTACACAGCGGTCATTACACGGCTTATTGCCGCGTTCCTACAGTACCATCGTCGCTTTTCGAAACAAAATTCGAAAATTTGACCCAATTATTAAATATTATGGATCAAATGTGGACTCAGGGTGATAAACGGGAATCTTATGTACACGAGGGACTTTCAAGCTCGCGATGGTTCTACATCAGCGACAGTCATGTGTCCGAGGTCGGCCTGGATCGAGTTTTGAAAGCGCAAGCGTATCTGCTGTTTTATGAACGAATGGTGTTGAGTCACAGCGGGGAGATTGAAAACACTGCACCGAAGACTGTTACTGAATAGACCATCCATTCGAAGGCCGCGTTTTACATGAGACTGAACGAATAGACCTTTCCCCTTTTAAGTGAAATTTTGATCTAGTCAAGTCTGGACAAAAATTCGAATCGAAAGCTTTGCAGTAATAAATTTACGTGGTGTTTCCACAAACAAAACTATTATATGTTTTATCGCCATGCAAACATACAAAGAACTTAATGATCATGATTTTGGAAAAACTGCCCTAAACAGGGAAATGCTAATATATTTTTGAAACTTCTCTATTTTTACAGCGCCATTTTCACATTTAAAATGGACCATTCCCCAATTAACCAAAATTTTGATCTCAACAAGTCTAGACAAAAATGTCATCACAGCGTGAAAGAGCATAGCAAAATTAGTAATATTCCGAAGTTTCGTTGTAAAATGTTGTAAAATGCGGATACTATAGCCTTGCGAAGTTTGCCGTTTTTCAGTCATAATCAGATGATCAAACTGATTATCAATTTCCCATTTGTAACACAAAATGACTGAAAAACGGCAAACTTCGCAAGGCTATATTATCCGCATTTTACAACATTTCGCAACGAAACTTTGGAATATTTCAAGCTGTGATGAAATTTTTGTCCAGATCAAAATTTCACTTAAAAGGGGAAAGGTCTATTCAAACCGGGACTGTTTCGTTTCAGTCGTAGTATTATTTATAATAGATGTTTACATGAGCCCGGGACGAAAATAACTCAGACCAGTCTCAAGTCATTCCGCCTGCTGGACCGAGCAGACTGACTTCAGACCGGCATGAATTCAGACTGGGATAGATGTAAACACAAATACATTTCAGACCGGTCTCGGCTGTAATCTTGACATTGGAACAACACATGCTAACAAAAGCCATCTAGAAAAGAAAATTGCCTGGAATCAATTGGAAATTTTGTGATTTTCGTACCGGTCTCATGTAAACATGTTGACAATTTCAATTTTCATTGCGGTTTGACTTCGTCCCGGTCTCATGTAAACGGGGCCTAAGCCAGCTCTATACAGGGTGTATAAAAAAGCTTGTTCAACTTTGACTCGTGCGTTAATTTAACTAATACATCATTACGTCAATAAGTTTTCTTTTTCGTATTTATAAAGATCAGACTTTTAGCTGTAAAATGACACCTTTATATGATTGCGATAAAAAATGATCAAATGTGATCTGATTTACAGTGCTCGGTTCAATTTGCATTCGAATCCACCTGTGGGATTTAAATGTCCTTCCAATCCAATACACCCTTTCGATAATTACGTCGCAACTACATTGTTTTCAACTTAGGACCACCTTAAATGGAAAGGATTTCAAGTTTTTTTTCTCGCGGGCTATGCACAGAGAAGCAGAACATCCTTCTTCAACACATGCGCGAAAAACAATTTTGGATTTTGATCAATAAACATGGAAATAAGCCTCGTTTTCGTGTTAATGCTTATTTCCACATTTATTGGTCAAAATAAAGGATTCTTTTTCATGCATGTGTTGGAGAAGGATGTTCTGCTTCTCTGTGCATAGCCCATGGGAAAAAACTCCTTGAAATCCTTTCCATTCAAGGTGGTCCTAAGTTGAAAACAGTGTAGTTGCGACGTAATTAGTCTGCAAGCTTCCAGTGTTGTAAAGTGTTTTAGCCACTCCACTTCGATGTAAAATTGCGAGTAAAAGTTTATCGAAACTTGATGCTTACTGTACACATACGTTGCGCCGTATTTACTCAAGGACAAGGGACGACAAGGGTAATAGTTTCAATACTCAGACAATAGCTTCACATACAATTCCCAGCGGTGGGAAAATGTGATTTCGAGTGGCATTTTTAGATCGCATCTTATTTGGCTATTTTTGATCGCAACGATACAAGAAATGTAGCATTCGACAGCTAAAAGCCTCATCTTTATTGGTATGAAAACAGTAAATGGATAAACGTAATATAATTGTGGTTCTTTGGAGTATCTTTTTTAAACAACTTAACATAGTGTGGTTATTTCAACAAGGAAAATTCCCATGGTTACATTAACCGGACTCTTAAGTAGTTAATTGGTTTATATACTCGTAGTTTGTCAAGATAGGATGGTCTGGAATACCTTCAATAGAAGAGCTTTGTTTTGTTTGATGTTGAACTGTACATCACCGTGCACAAATCCTTTGTCTCAACTTCATTAAATATTATTCATCGTGGTCACACGTTTCATCTCAGCTATCCCTATTGGACGATTACTTCATTATACGAAAATACAATGAGCTCAATCTCCGTAATATAAACTCAGACAAAAAACAATACACAATGACTTCTGTTAAGCCCAGGGCAAACTAGGAAACATTGTTGCGGAAACATTGTTTCCTACCAATGTTTCGCCATGTTTCCCAGAGTGGGCAAACACTAGGAAACATTAGTGAGAAACATAGGGAAGCATCAAATGTTTCTGAATTTGCTAGGAAACATTTTTGCTTCTCGGGAAGCAAATTTTGTTTCCGCAACAATGTTTCCACAGGTGGGCAAACATGGAAACATCGAGAATCCCAAATGTTTCCACAACAATGTTTCCTAGTTTGCCCAGGGCTTAAAGCTTCCAGGCCATGTCATATCTTGATAGACCATGATGCACTCAAATCTTAAAGAGACTACGTTATTTTGACATCTCTGACAGAAAATATACAGCAATCTCGACCCTTTTTGATAATATATACATTTGATCATTTTTAAATGTTGTACGTTGAAATTGAAGTGTCGTTATTATTGAAAAGCGTTTAACGCCACATATGATTTTTGGTATGTGTAATATCTGGGTCATTGTTAGGCGAGATGTAATACAGGGTGTATAAAAAAAACTAGACCTTTAGAAATTAACCTTATTGTTATAATTTGAATGCTATAAGCACTATGTCGAACACAAGATTGCGAAGACACAATTGAAGTGAATTTTAAATAAAAAAAAACGCAACCTCGGAATTTCCCAAGAATCGACATTGTTTTAAGGACAAAAGATTTCAGGTGCCTGGCAATTTAAAATAGCACAACTGTCAAAATTACTGCACACGCGAGTGCATAAAGCAAAATTTATGCATTTATTTAAAGACACTCGATAAGTTTTTATTTTACAAGTACAGTACAACAACAGTAAAATATGATCTACTAGCAATTCGATTTCAATTCCCAGGGGCCTAAAATCTTTTATGCTCAAGAATTGCAAAGTGGATTTCTTAGGAAATTCCGAGCTAGGTTGCGCGTTTTTTTATACACCTTGTATATTGTGCTTAACGACAATATATTAATTTCTAAAGGTCTCGTTTTTGTTTATATACCCTGTATATCCATTGTACTCAATGGAAATTAGACTTTCCAAAGTCCTTTCCAGATCTATATGGACATGTCAGTTGACAGCTTGCAACAGAAAATGCCATCCGACAAATTTTGTTTTTTTTGACATTCTCAAGATTTGACCGACGGAGATCTATGCTTACCTCTTTAACGCCATTGAGTTATAATTAAGCCGATTCTTCAATCTCCGAAACTTTGTCATCAGGCTTCACTGCTGAGCGTCCTACACCCTTCATAAATTCTTCATATCCAATAAAACAAGATCTACAAATATTCCCAGCAATATCCACGGTCATAATACCCATTTCCTCAGGACTCGTCCCAGATTCCCACCATGACTCGGGCAAACTGAACTCTATAGGTGCGCACTGGACAAATTCCCAAAAGTTGATAAGTTCGTCTTTTTTACGTAATTCGACCAAACCAATTCCAATGCCAGATTCGATGCTAGGAGCAGAATTTGAGCGAGACTGCTCTGAAAATTTGCTATAAATATATCAGAAAAACTGTTTCAGCCTAGCGCATTGGTCAGTGAATAAGAGATGATCTTTACTGGACCTCTAGGGAGAACAGTTTAGAACTAATAGAGTTATCCAGTATAAATAAAGTTAGTTTAGTTTAGGTTTCCTCCTGTAGTAACACTGGATCAATGAGAGATGATCCTTACTGGACCTCTAGGGAGAACAGTTTAGAACTGATAGAGCTATCCAGTATAAATAAAGTTAGTTTAGTTTAGGTTTCCTCCTGTAGTGACACTGGATCAATAAGAGATGATCCTTACTGGACCTCTAGGAAGAACAGTTTAGAACTGATAGAGCTATCCAGTATAAATAAAGTTAGTTTAGTTTAGGTTTCCTCCTGTAGTAACACTGGATCAATAAGAGATGATTCTTACTGGACCTCTAGGGAGAACAGTTTAGAACTGATAGAGCTATCCAGTATAAATAAAGTTAGTTTAGTTTAGGTTTCCTCCTGTAGTAACACTGGATCAATGAGAGATGATCCTTACTGGACCTCTAGGGAGAACAGTTAAGAACTGATAGAGCTATCCAGTATAAATAAAGTTAGTTTAGTTTAGGTTTTCTCCTGTAGTAACACTGGATCAATGAGAGATGATCCTTACTGGATCTCTAGGGAGAACAGTTTAGAACTTATAGAACTATCCAGTATAAATAAAGTTAGTTTAGTTTAGGTTTCCTCCTGTAGTAATATTGGTTAAACAAGGCATGGATTTCTAGATAGCGCAGACAAATTTGATAGAGCTATCCAGTATAACAAATACCTCTTTTTCAAATGTATACCAAGTGATCCAAGATAGTCCCCAAAAGTCCCAAAAATTCCTGTAATGCATTCTCCGTTTGATGGCGTCATTCGGTACCAATTCCCGCCTTGGCCACCGAACCAAATTGAAGATTTCATATTTGAGTGAAAACGTATCCCGTCAACCCACGCGCCCGCTCGGATCTCCACCGAAGTGAGATACTCATCGTCCTCCAGGGGAAATGTGTGAATCGAACACGACTTCTCGATTTTGCCATACACTGGACAACCTTTGAAAATAATAAAACAGTCTGCTGTTGCACGTTTTGTATGAATTTGAAGAGAATTGTTTGCGTTCGCTAGAGAAATTTACTGATCAGCGCGACAAAATTCCTGCTTGCCAACCTATCATAGGTTTTCTCCTGTAGTAACACTGGTTCAATAAGTGATAATCCTTGGTGGACCTCTAGGAAGAATAGTTTAGAACTGATAGAGCTATCCAGTATAAATAAAGTTAGTTTAGTTTAGGTTTCCTCCTGTAGTAACACTGGTTCAATAAGTGATAATCCTTGGTGGACCTCTAGGGAGAATAGTTTAGAACTGATAGAGCTATCCAGTATAAATAAAGTTAGTTTAGTTTAGGTTTCCTCCTGTAGTAACACTGGATCAATAAGAGATGATTCTTACTGGACCTCCAGGAAGAACAGTTTAGAACTGATAGAGCTATCCAGTATAAATAAAGTTAGTTTAGTTTAGGTTTCCTCCTGTAGTAATACTGGATCAATAAGAGATGATCCTTACTGGACCTCTAGGAAGAACAGTTTAGAACTGATAGAACTATCCAGTATAATTAAAGTTAGTTTAGTTTAGGTTTCCTCCTGTAGTAACACTGGATCAATAAGAGATGATCCTTACTGGACCTCTAGGAAGAACAGTTTAGAACTGATAGAGCTATCCAGTATAAATAAAGTTAGTTTAGTTTAGGTGTCCTCTTGTAGTAATACTGGATCAATAAGAGATGATCCTTACTGGACCTCTAGGGAGAACAGTTTAGAACTGATAGAGCTATCCAGTATAAATAAAGTTAATTTAGTTTAGGTTTCCTCCTGTAGTAACACTGGATCAATAAGAGATGGCCCTCACTGAACCTTTAGGAAAAAGAGTTTAGAACTGATAGAGCTATCCAGTATAAATAATGTTAATTTAGTTTACGTTTGCTCCTGTAGTAACACTAGACCGACGAGAAGTGGCTCTTATTGAACTTAAAAACTCAAATAAGAACGGCAAATAGAACGTTTTTTCCAGTCAAAGCTCACCCAACTAAGTTCTTGTTTCTCTCCTGGCAAACAGCTTCTGGTGTATGACTGTCAGTCGTAGTCTCAGCAAACATTCCTTTCACATCTTGCGGTGATGAAATACTCACACAGATACCAGATTGAGCCAATCGCGTGGCCTGTTTTAAACACGTGGTCATTTTGTCGGTGAGTACCTCAGCAAAGCCATGTTCAGACAGCTCACGATTCAGCGTGATTGCTCGTTCCATCTGGGAACCCAAGCCAACTTGGAAGAGAAATGGCTGTCCACTTGAACTAAATAGTAAAAATATACTTTCAGTATAAAGCTTTTTCTGATCTTCAAAGGTGGGGAACATGATTTAACAAAAAGAAAAATAGCATTCTGCATGTCTTCTCCTACTACTCCTCCTGAACTAATTTTCTTCCTGTAGTAACACAGAACCAATAAGGAAGAACATTACCGGACCTTTTTAAGGATGACCTTTACTGGACCTCTAGGAAGAACGGTTTAAAACTTATAGAGCTATCCAGTATAAATAAAGTTAGTTTGTTTAGATTTCTTTCTGTAGTAATACTGGATCAATTAGACATGACTCTTACTGGACCTCTAGGGAGAACAGTTTAGAACTGATAAAGCTATCTAGTATAAATAAAGTTATTATATATCAATAGTCAAAGTCGCATTTTTCTAGTGTTTTATTGGTTGAGAGCATATCACGTGAGAGTGACGAAATTAGGCTGTCTCCCTCGCAACAGCGCGAGAGGGAGATAATACGTTATCCACCGGCGAATAACAAAAAAATCACGTGCGCCATCACGTGAAGGTGCGACCTTTGGACATGCCTAGTACGTAATTAAAACTTTCGCTTCTTATAACTGCAGTGTAGCCAGTGTTTAATATAACGTTTTAACAATAAAATATTTCGTGTCTTTACGTTCATTTGTTCTTTAATTTGTTGTTTCTTTGACTATTGATATATAATAAAACACTTATTTACTGAGACCTTGGGAAAGCAGTGTGTTTTGTGGACTTTCGACCGTCGCTCGGCTTCGCCTCGGGAAACATCGACGGTCTCGGGTCCACAAAACACACTGTTTCCCTCGGTCTCAGTAAATAAGTGATAATTAGTTTACTTTAGGTTTCCTCCTGTAATAACACTGGATCAATTAGAGATGACTCTTACTGAACCTTTAGGAAAAAGAGTTTAGAACTGATAGAGCTATCCAGTATAAATAAAAGTTAGTTTAGTTCACGTTTCCTCCTGTTAGTGAGTAACCCTAGACTGGGTACACTAGTTATAACTCTGTATATATATCTACTCTGTGCCCTTACTGGACCTCTAGGGAGAACAGTTTAGAACTAATAGAGCTATCCAGTAGAAAGTTTAATTCAGTAACTAATAACCTCAAAACCTTCTGAACAATTTCATGTGTCGCAATATCCCCTCTGTTGTGGACATACACAGAAAACACCGAGGTCCCATAACCATTTGAGCGTCGCTGCCGTTTCGAGCTTGTAGCACCGTCGTCGGAGGTGTTATACGGCAACAACAGTTCCCCCAGTTTATTTAACAACACCTTGATCACGGTATACGATGGCTTGCGTTGGTTTGTGGTCGTTGAGCGATCAGGCAACGCTTCCATGGACGGAGAGGTAAGTGGTACGTCAGTGTCAGGGTCGGTGAGGGGGAGTGCGGAATACAGGAGGGTTAGAGCCGTGAGCACGTGTTTCGGGGAGGCCTGACGGTCGGTGATAACTGAGAGAAGAATTTTGATCATGTGTGGTTGAGATAGAACACACTCGCCTAAATGACTCCTGCAGAAGATCAGCAAATAGACAAGTTATATAAGCTCTGGTCCTTATTGGACGTCTGGGGGGAACAGTTATGCCTGTCCTGTTTAGTTTAGATTTCTTCCCGTGGAAACACCGAACCAATAAGGGATGACATTTACTGAATGTCTACGAAGGACAGTTTGGAAATGATAGAGCTATTCAGTATAAATAAAGTTAGTTTAGGCAAAAAAAATATGTGGTTTCCTATTTCCTCTTGTAAAAACTTAGGTAGGTTTTAATTTTTTTTTAAACTTTTTTTTAAATTTTCCTAACAACCAGACGCCATTTTGTTTAGTCAGTGCTTCAATATGCAAACATAAATTTCCCTAATATTGCCTCAAATTTTCATTTTTCACAAACGTTTTGAAACACTTACAAGTGTGATCCAATAAAAAGGTTTAGGGTCGGGATTTTGGGGTCCAAAAGCTAGGTAGGGTCGGGAAACCGGAAACCCACATTTGTTGGCCTTAGTTTAGCTTTGTATGGGGTGTAAATTAAACCACACCTACCCCGATATTCGTTGCAGTAGTTCCAATACTTCATGTAACGGATCACTGACGCGTGTCACAACATCATGTTTACTGACTTTATTCTCGAGATATCGGAGATAACTGGTGAGAACCGTCGCCACTTGACGAGCAACACCAGACCACTCGATCTCTTCAGGATCATGTGCTGAAATAAAACACAAGATTGTTAATCGAGGGCTGTTGATGACACAGTGGTCAGTGCATGTGTCTTTCAGAAGTTATCTAATAAATAATGCACGCTTCCGGGAAATACGTCACCTTGGCTATATAGAGCGTCGTTTTCATGATTGGAATGTTGGGCTTTAACTATTAGAGACCTTACGATTTAGGACGGCAACGCGACGGCAACGGCTACCAATACAATAGATCATTGAAATGAATTGAATAATTACAATATATGAATAATTTAGACATTGTCCTCGGTCTGTTTACAACGCCAAATCACAGATTTTCACGTCTTGATACAACGGCTGCATTCCAAGCCACAACAAGTGCAACTTCAAAATGGGTTCAGCAGAACTCTTCCCAAACATAAAGCCCATGTCTTCAACTTCTAAGACTGTATTAAATCATACGATTGATAATATACGACGAATTATCTTCACTACCATTTATTTGAAGGAGTTTGTTTTGGTCGTCGCGTTGCCGTCCTAAAATCGGTCATATACACGAAAACGAGGCTGTACAGCCCAATAAAATGGCAACAAAAATTGCAAGTATAAACGTTTCCTTACCTGTGTCACTCTCCCAACTCACAAGACGATCAATCAAGACTTGAAAACTTCTCCATGCATAATTCCGCTGAGTGAGATCTAACAATCCCGTATCCAGATTACTTGAACTACAAAGTTTGTTAATCATTAATATCAAACTGCTCCGTAGGACATCTTGACGTTCACACAATGTGAAAGGCGTGGTGGCAAGGATGATCAACTTCTCACAGTGGCGTGACAGCATGCCCACCGACTGATCCACAATATGTCGTAACAACATCCCGTACTCGTCACGAACATCGTTCAACATGCCACTACATTCCAGCTCATCCAGTCTACAACAATAATTTAATTGTACCCCAAAGAAAAGACTATAGAATTTACTTAGTATATTACATCAAATATAGGTCTGGCTACCTAACCGTAAAGGGCTAGATATGAGACATAGGTATCTGGATAGAAGGCAAGAATTTAACATGTTTTAGACATTAATTCTGACACTTATAATTCGGAAATTTCGTGGTCAGAATTTATAAGAAATAGTTTTTCATTTTTCTGAGAATGATGTAGTGAGACATTTTGAAAATCTGGGCTGTTGCAGTAGAACGTGATTCCCTCCATCGAGGAAACTATTTTGCCTAGAGATCATTCCTTATTAGCCGAGTATCAGTACAGGAGGCAGGGTGTCCACCCTTTGGTGAAGGTGAAATTCAAGGACTTTTCCAGGACTTTCAAGGCCCTGTTTCAGTAAATTCAAGGACCTAGAACTGGGAAAAAATCTTTGAAAATGGCACGGATTTGCCGTAAATAATTCACTTTATTCAGTAATTTTAATCAAAATCAGTAATGTTGTCACAGCTGGAGGTTCAGGAAATTAATTCCAGTACTTTCAAGGACTTTCCAGTCCTGGAATTCAAGGACATTCCAAGATTTCAAGGCCCGTGGACACCCTGAGGAGGAATCCAGAATACCCAGAGGAAACCTCCGCTGTTTGGTAGAGTCAAACTGGAAGCATTCTTCCCACATTGGATTGAGGTGAAATTATAATGAGACAACCTCATAATGCAGGACTTAACCACGGTCTCACTAAAACAACAAGTTGAACTCTTTGCTTACTTTGTTCCTTGACTCATGATGGAGACAACAACGCCCAGTAAATGTATTCCAGTGACGCCCAGAGTGGAGGATATAGTCGCTAGTTTATTCATGTGTAGGATCGCCAACTGACGGTATTTGCCGCGTCGCCATCTCTTACGGGCTGCGGAAAGGAAAGACCCACACGACACCTGAAGGAAAGAAATTGAATATTCTAGAGTTGAGTGTGGAATACAGTACAGGCATGGATGGGTTGTAGTGAGCGTTGTAGAGCACCAGATCGTGGTGAAAGGAAATTACAGTGCATATTCAGTAAATTCTATAAAATTTTTGCCACCAAATACAAGACTACTACATATTCTGTAATGAAAAGAATGAACATTATTTCCTCACTCTGATAACTGCAGGTTGACCATCATTTACTGCATACTGCTTAGTGAAACACAACGATAGACACTTGGGTACTCTATATACCAAACCTACCCAAGGGTATAATAGAGTACCCAAGAGTATAACAGAGTACCCAAGGGTATAAGTACCCAAAGGTATGATGAAGTGCCCAGGGCTATAATAGTGCATCCAAGAGAACAGTAGAGACTTATGGAGACGCCGGTAAGTAGAGTTACCAGTGTGCACTGTGAAAGGTCAAAATATAAAATATCAAAATTTCCTTACAGCTTCATCAGGGCTTCCTGCGACAAACGTGAAGATTTGTTCAACAACCGAGACAGGACACTCTCTGTGTTCACTCCAACTGGCACGTGACATCTTATGTAGGTTACGTAATGTTTGATCCCATCTTCTGAAGCGCTGCAAGTCCTCAAGACCTTGAACTAACTGCTCGGAGACAGGCTGTTGTAGATGTGGCGCCGATACAGACCGAGTAACCATGCCATCCTGCTCTGAAGATGAACTCCCTACGTAGGGAAATGATCAGGTTGACTCAACACATTTCAAAAGAAAGTAGAAAAAAACTATCCTAACGCAAAACTAAACCCTAACCCTAATACTAACCCTAACCCCAACCTAACCCTAACCTAAACCCTAACCTAACCTAACCCTAACTTATTTTAGTTATTTTAAAAATTGATATAAAAACGGAAACCTTATTTTGAAGTATACTATCTAGCAATTGCCAATAAGGAACAGATCTTAAGAAGAATACTTCATAACTGAATGAACTAGCCCGTACTTACTGTAGTAACACACGATTCTAGGGAGAACAGTTTAGAACTGACAGAGCTATGTTTCCTCCTGTATAACACTGGATCACTAAGGGATGGCCTTTTAAGGACCTCGAAGGAAAACACTTTAGAACTGATAGAGCTATCCAATATACATAGAGTTAGTTCTTTAATTGTACTATCATATATTTACCACAACAATAGGAGGAGTCCATTACCTTTCCCCGTGATCGTTTCATCAATATTCGAAGCACTACGTCCCACGGCGGTACCACAACTACTCCCCACCATCGTGACACTCAACAATAGGTCTGCTCGTTCTATCACACAGCTGACGTAAGCACTGGTTCTCGGAAATACGGCGGTGATGTCTTCGTCGTCATGGTGACTCGATAAGAGAGCGCGAGATTCGTAATCCAAAATTTGTCTGCAATGAATGAACAGGTAGTTAAAATGGGACCTGTGCAATGTGCATCATGTCGTGAACATCTGACCTAAATTACAGGTCGATATTTTAGCAGTCCTTGTTAGGGTCGGCTTTTCAAAGAATTTCTGGCGCTATCCAATTCACATTCACATGGAATGGAACAAATGTAACCAAGCATTTAAACTACACTTACATCAATCTTCCTACAGATTTTTCATGATCCAAAGGGTCAAACTGAATGGTCTTTAGGTTACATAGCAACTCAAGTTCTTTCGCTTTATCCTAGAATAAAAAAAGCTTCACTTTAAAATGTAGCGTTTCACCTGCATGTGATGGACACGAATGCCCTTCTCCCACCCTCCTAGTGTACGCCATTGTGTCCACATTTAGCTGTAAATAGCTAGCTAGATATATTAAATAAAGTTATTCGTTTATTCATTCATTCAATCTCTGAACGCAGACGAAATACAGAAATGTTCACGCCACAACCTGTCACCCAGAACGTGTATTACATAAAATAGCAAAAATTGTCCTGGAGAACTACTGCACTCTACGGCAATTTTTCACGTGATTGCCATGGAGAGGTTTTAGGAAAATGACAGGTCTGACTACAATTACTACCAACCTCTTGTAGGTGATAATCATTAAAGAAAGCAGCACTGGGTTGAACATCCTCCTTACAAATATCCATCAAATCCTGCCACCACTTCTTCTCGAGTTCCGCCATGGCTTGCAACCGCCGCACGAGAGAATCCACCTTGAAGAACGTTTCTTCAGCAACATCAAGTAAACTACTGAATTCCTTCTTCTTTGAAAGATTCCCAGTAGCCAGTTCGAACTTGTTTACACATGATGTAAGCCCATAGTGCTTCACGGCCGCAATTACGATCACGGTTTCAATGTCCAGCGGTTTGACAACATTTTGTATGCTCGGGCGCAGTGTTGGGCGTTGGCTGTTACAACATGTTCGTAACTTGTCCAGCACGTTTGCTGAGAGTTTGCTTGAGGTGTTGGAATCTTTTGTGGCTTTTGGAGAATCTTGGATCATTGTTAAACTGTCCTTCCAAATACATCTAAACACAGTAGTCAAAATAATTTAGATTAAGGCACCGACTAACTTTGTACTGGATAGCAATAGTGCTATAGCAGTTCTCCCTAGAGGTCCAGTAAGGATCATCTCTTATTGATCCAGTGTTACTACAGGAGGAAACCAAAACTAACTTTATTTATACTGGATAGCACTATCAGTTCTAAATTTTTCTCCCTGGAGGTCCAGTAAGGGTCATCTCTTATTGATCCAGTGTTACTACAGGAGGAAACCTAAACTAAACTAACTTTATTTATACTGGATAGCTCTATCAGTTCTAAATTTTTCTCCCTGGAGGTCCAGTAAGGGTCATCTCTTATTGATCCAGTGTTACTACAGGAGGAAACCTAAACTAAACTAACTTTATTTATACTGGATAGCTCTATCAGTTCTAAATTTTTCTCCCTGGAGGTCCAGTAAGGATCATCTCTTATTGATCCAGTGTTACTACAGGAGGAAACCAAAACTAACTTTATTTATACTGGGTAGCTCTATCAGTTCTAAATTTCTCTCCCTGGAGGTCCAGTAAGAATCATCTCTTATTGAGCCCTAGTACACTTGGTTCAAACAGGTGTACTCTACGAGTTGGGTACATATACTCTACCTTTGCAAAAGTTTCGACTTCAACAGATGAGAACAACGCAGTTCAACGTCGGTAGGCAGTGGTCCACAGTACATCATGTTCAGTAAGTTATAGGTGAAATACGAGCCAGCCAAAGCAACGTCTGTGAAGAGATCTAATCCACCGCTGCACTTGTTCTTCTCTTTGAAATATTCCTACAGAAATTAACCACGAAAATATATCATACAGAACAGCAGATGGTGTCATGGTGGTCAACCTCACAGCCACTGACCCGGCAAATTAAATCTCTCAATTCATTTGCCATCAAATACAATACTACCATTGTGCATATAATGAAAACAGCTGTGAAATTACTACATATAATGGTTGACAATCATCTTCTGCACGATAATGCTAAGTGAAACTCGCGCATATACCTGATCGGCAGCTACGATAACACTGTAACCCCAGACAGCTTTGTCGGGCGTGGCTCGTTCACGAGTGCTTTTCACTTCCAAACATAACGTCACTGTATCACCATTCACCTAAAAATCACATCATGTTAAACTAAGGGTGAATACAAAATATACTTCCAATTATTTTTTCTAATATCTGACATTAGCGTTATAGACCTAAACGCACATCTGTGCAGGATTTCAGATAACTCACATTCCTAGTTACCAATGTTCTGATAATGTAAGGATTGTAAGCATAGAATATACCAAGTATTTAAATTAAATATGTGAGTGAACTGGGTGGGATAAACATGTGTGAGTCGATTAGGATGCTGAATGAACGCATGCATGTACCTTGACCAGATCTTTAGGCCAACCTGTTTTGACCACACTCCGACCACCATAACCAAACGAGTTGCCACCATATTCACCAACCTTTGGACAACTGCTGTTAGCACCAGCGTACACCACAAGCTAATGGATGGAAACGAAGATAGATCCGAAAGTTCGAAACTGGATAGCTCTATCAGTTCTAAACTGTTCTCCCTCGAGATCCAATAAGGGTCATCCGTTATTGATCCAGTGTTACTACAAGAGGAAACCTAAACTACACTAACTTTATTTATACTGGATAGCTCTATCAGTTCTAAACTGTTCTCCCTAGAGGTCCAGTAAGGGTCATCCGTTATTGATCCAGTGTTACTACAGGAGGAAACCTAAACTACACTAACTTTATTTATACTGGATAGCTGTATCAGTTCTAAACTGTTCTCCCTAGAGGTCCAGTAAGAGTCATCCCTAATTGATCCAGTGTTACAACAGGAGGAAACCTTAACTAAACTATATAAATTTATGCTAGTTCTGTCAGTTCTAAACGGTTCTGCCTAGAGATCTTGCAAGTGTTACTACAAAAAGAAACTGGTGTTTAGTAGAGTCAAACTGAAAGCACTCTTCTTTCATGCAACTGCAGTATTATATTAAAGCACTTTGAACTTTGAACAAATCAAACTGTGCCACTAAGTACATGTGTGGTATATTGCGGAGTACAATCTAAAATTTTTCATCTAACGTCAATACTACCTTATCATAATCGTACTGTGTAGCGCATCTCTCGTCAAATTTCAAGTACAACGTTTTCGCACCGAACAACGATACTGTCCTCTGTGTTTTGTATTCATCACAAACAGGATGCATGCTGGCTACGGTCTGTGGTCCCAGCCAGGGTTTGGGAATAGACACTTTATCAAAAGGCTTTTTAGTGTCTTTGTCTGCCGACTGGAGGAAACAACGAACTTGTGAAGGATTCTTAGAACTGCCATGACGAAGCGGACATAATTTTCTGTGAAGAGATGCAATCTAGAAAACGATTAAGCATAATGTTGTTTAGTCAATTTCTATACCAAAGCCTGATTGACACTATCAAAGTTTCTGTGATCACAGTAGGAATTTTGCATCGGTAAATTCTAGTTTTGAAGGATTTGTAAGAAATGATCAAGGAAATTGACTCAATGTTAAATACTAAGTCAGTTCCCTCAACCATTTCTTATATGCGTTAGTATAGTAGGCGTATGCTGGTGTTGAACTTACCTTAGTGAGTGTAACGGTCAACTCCACAATGGACGTAGCCAACAATTTGCAGATTGACAGATTACAAACACCGGACAAAGCGGTCAGAAATATTGGCATAACTTGTTCAAACATCGAAGACTTGGTAGTATTGTGAAGAAGTGACAATGTTTCTTCGAGACCTGGTGTACTCTTTGTGTCAATACTTGTTAATACATCGAGGACGACTTTGGATACCTAGAAAGTTGAATTATCACGTGAAATATCTATGGGCAGATTTTGGTAGAAAATGAAATATCAAATATCTATGGTAGAAAACTGCAGTTCATTGTAAAGACTTACCTCTTTAAAACCTCCGACAAGTCTTTCAAATAGATCTTCAACATCACCCTAAAATGCCACAGGATATTGACATTAAATCACTGCGAAATAAGATAGCACAAAATTGGTAGAAAATGAAGAAATCACACTTACGCGAAATGTGGCATCATGTCCAAGATATAACTCCTCCAAAGTCTTTGTTATCATTGCTTTGAGGTAACCCAACAACGGGGAAATAAACTAAATAACATCGTGAGTGATTACTTGTCATTATATTTAATTGTTGGGTAAAAGGTTTTGGATAACAGACACTTCCTGAATTTGCTTGAGTAGCGCATGAGACAATAGTGGTTCAGATTTGACTTCTACTACCGTTACCATTAATGGACTATTAACCAATCAGATGTGTTTGATATATCAGATTAACCAATCAAGGAGGTACTAAGCCAGTGAAAGGTACCAGTAGTAGAGGTCAAATCTGGACCTCTCTAATGCAAGAACTCGAGGTCGGCAATGACTTAATAATAACTTATAACTAGAATCATTTCGTCAGCCTCGATTCCAAGCTATTGCTTCGTGTGCGCTCAATCTTGAGAAGTATCTATTCTTCTTGCAGAGAACTCGACTTACAGGGAATTGGTAATCCTTCGTTTTTCCTTCTTTAGCAAGCGATATGAAGTAGCAGGATTCAGCAGTACACTGAGTGATAATTGTGAACACTACGTCTTCGGCAAACCTGGGGCGGTAAAATGAGAGTTTGATGTTGGAGGATGTTCAACAAATATTTAGTTGTTTCTAGTCACATCAAAATCTGGGACTAGTTTATCAGTCATCTAGGTAAGAGCATAGCAGTTTTCAGTAAATAAGGTTCAATAAGTTGCAGACTTACCATCCAACGCAGCCATTGTTGCTTGGACCTTCACGCACGAGAGCTTGTGCGAAATCTCTGAGAAGAACGTCTTTTAAATACACAATGCCGTTCTCTTCCGCTGTTGGGAAAATAAAAACCAAATAGGGTAAGTAAGAATAATGGAGTCAATAAAAACTATTGGATGAACTACCGAAGCAGCCCACTATGTTGCAATTATAGCGTACGTACGTTCATTAAAGAGTATCATCATCACAGCACTTTGTTCAGCAAGAGTTGGATAAAAAATACCCAAACACGATCTGAAAAACAATATTCAGCTTATTTAGCTTATCTACAATATATTCTATGTGTATAATATTATATGTACGGGCAAACGAAAGCCTTGCCAATACACACTGCCGTTAAGTATTCAGTCATGGCTGTAGAGCCTCATTTCATAATTGAGATATTGGATTTAGAGCCCTTTATCTTATTACAGATGGAGACATTTACGGAATCGTACAGTTCTATTAGACCTTTACCGATAATTACATCATGCGCAACGAAAACGAGGCTCTACAGCCAAGATGACGTATTTCCGGAACAGCTCACCTCAATGTGTGACAAGCTTCCTGGCGAACTTTCTCACTTAATCCCACGATATCACAACAAATTACTTTCCAAATCAACAGCCTACAATTATATATAACGCGCGTTACTTACATTTTCTATTTACGCTAAAATCTACAATAAAGATATATAAACGAGCATTGGTTACATTGTACTTGATAATAAAGACGTTTACATTTGACTACCGCTACCATCAATCAATACCAATCAGATGCGTTTGATATATCCGATTAACCAATCAGATGCGTTTGATATATCCGATTAACCAATCAGATGCGTTTGATATATCCATTTAACCAATCAAATGCATACTATGAGAGGCAGTAGTAGCCAAATCTGAACCTCTCTAATGAATAAGAAAGCAACTACAGGACACTACCTTATAGACGCCAATATACCATCGTCCAATTTGGAATTGTTGCCATAGACTTTTGAGAACAATGTCTGAATGAACAAGCAGAAAACTCGTGTGGGTGATACGTCGCCTCTTTCTGTTTCGATTCCTGCATTATGCAGTTTCTGATTATAGTTTTGTTCCAGTTGCATTAAGCATAGCACCGCCAAGCAAGCAAAGGATCTGGGGGCGCAGTTGCTAGTTGCTTTTGGTTTTATTTAATTAATCAAACACACTACTGTCATTTATCCCAATGAGCATTTAATTTTTTTTTGAGGGGGGGGGTGCAAATTTCTCTCGGTGGGGTGGGAAAACTTTTTAGGGGTGCAAAATATTTGGGGAGGGGGGTTGCGCGAGAAGGGGATTTCTCCAGTTACTTCTCCGGGTATTTCTCCAGTTTTTCTAGTTGTAACACTGGACCAATGAAGGAACCGCTGAGAAAAACAGTTTAGAACTGATAGAACTATCCAGTATAAAGTTAGGAAAACTGTACCTGTATAAGAATTAACGCTGCATGCAGGACACGCTGATCTTGTTGACGTACTGCGCAATCCAATATCCCTAACACTTGCTGTTGGTACTCATCATCCAGTGTTAAATCGTAGATCAATGGCTTGGTGACGTCACGTGGTACGGCTGAACATAGGAAGCTGATTTGTAATGCAGTGGCTGTCATACAATCTGACGGGCTCATCATATCATCGTCTGAAAACCTGTCTAGAAAAGTATAATATTATGATTTGAATAGCAAGAATATAGTTAAAATTTCTTACTTACAGTATCTCAAAAAGAAAATGGCATATTGGATAATTAGTATATAAACATGTTTAGGCTAAAGCCTCGTTTACATGAGGTCTTGTTCTAGCTTCACATGCGGACTGTAGTCTGAAGAATTTAGATTTTCGTCCCCTTCATGCTTTGTTCCTATCTCATGCAAACGGGACATAACTCACGAGTTCTTCCACCAGAAAGATAAACATACTTGTAGACGCCAAAATAAAGAACACACCTCGAGATCTGGGCGACAGCTTGTGTACGATATGATGATAAGACAATGCTCCGATATTCAGCCATTCTTCAATACAGTCTTCACTACTTGTCCAGATTTGATTATTCACATGATCATAACATATACCTATAGTGAAGTAGGAAATACCATGATTGTAGGTGACAATTCACAACAACATGCTCTGTAATGGTTCCTGCAAGCCATCACTAGAACACATCCTTCATACATTCACGTCCTGCATTCCTACCAGTATTCGCCAATGAAACACTTTGCCATTTGGGGTTTTCAGCTTTTGGGACATCGATCAAATTCACGTCTTTAACAAACTTTCCCTCCACGATAGAATAACAGCGGTTGAATGGCGCTGGAAATAACGAAATTGATAAACGCAATGTACCAAAACTGACAACAGCAACAATAAGCAACAACAAGAACAACAACAAAACAACAACAAAACAACACAACACCAAAACAACACAACACCAAAACAACACAACACCAAAACAACACAACACAACACCAAAACAACACAACACAACACCAAAACAACACAACACCAAAACAACACAACACCAAAACAACACAACACAACACCAAAACAACACAACACAACACCAGAACAACACCAAAACAACACAACACAACACCAAAACAACACAACACCAAAACAACACAACACCAAAACAACACAACACAACACAACACCAAAACAACACAACACAACACCAAAACAACACAACACCAACACAACACCAAAACAACACAACACAACACCAAAACAACACAACACAACACAACACCAAAACAACACAACACCAAAACAACACAACACCAAAACAACACAACACAACACCAAAACAACACAACACAACACCAAAACAACACAACACCAAAACAACACAACACCAACACCAACACAACACAACACCAAAACAACACCAAAACAACACCAAAACAACACAACACCAAAACATCACCAAAACAACACCAAAACAACACCAAAACAACACAACACCAAAACAACACAACACCAAAACAACACAACACAACACAACACAACACAACACAACACAAACCAAACAAACAAAACAAAACAAACAAACAACACAACTTAAAGACAACTGTGACATGAATTAATGGCAGTTGGAAGCTTTCCTTAGCATGGAAAAACTTTCAGTCTTGTCTTAGTAAAAGGTTTTGTCTTACCTTTAGACACAGGATAGCCTTGATAGTTGGGATGTCCAATCAACATAATGAGATATGTTCCATCAGTAAAGACAGGAGTATGTTGAAGAAGATTGATTGTTATACCACAACTTGTTTTACCTAACATTTTATAAAATAAACTAGCCTTGTTTACACTCAAGGAGAGCTCTATCAGTTCTAAACTGCTCTACCTAGAGATCTAGTATCCTTTATTGCTCCCAAGTGTTACTACAGAAGAAACCTAAACTTTATTGAGAGAGAATATCTCAATCAGTTCCAAAGAAACCACAGTAACTAGAGGTCCATTGAGGAACATGCTGTATTACTACATTATAATCATGTATATTGCAGTAATAAAACTCCAGGTACTGTACATATATAAAGCATAAAGATCTAAACATTCTTACTGTTTTCATCATGAGTAGGCTGTGCCACAGTCACAGGTCTCATGGCTAGAGGCATAGGAAACTCAGCATGATTGTTCACTGCTGCCTCTTCTTTGAATTTCAAAACAACCGGCCCTTGAACACATGTAGCTGTGCATTTCTCACCACTTTGCTGAAATTTCAATAATCATAATTTCACTTTGCAATTTATTCTTAACTATATGCAATATAGCATCTTCTTGTAATGTTTGAATGTTTAAACTAAATCTAAACTTAACTAATTGCATACTGTAGTTCGATCTATATGACTTCCCTAGAGGTCCAGTAAGGATGATCTCTTATCTAGATCCAGTGTTACTACAGGAGGAAACCTAAACTAAACCAACTTTATTTACACTGGATAGCTCTATCAGTTCTAAACTGTTCTTCCTAGAGGTCCAGTAAGGATCATTATGTATTTTCATTAATATTGTTCTGTGCTGAAGACCTAACCTTTAACTCCAAGACTTCCAAATACACCTCAACAACAGCAGATGTACTTCTTGATCCACTAGCAGATCCCGACTGGTTCGCAGTACCATGCAGACTTCCTGTCTGGCTTGAAACATCATGGTAGTACATCCAGCACAGTAAAACACCATCAGTAACAATATTCACAGTTTTTCTACTTGGTACACCTGTATCGCAGTGGTTGTTGGAACTTGGACTGTACTCAACTGGTGAACAGATCTACACAACGTATCAAATCACAAGATGCTCAACAATAAGCCATTGTTGATGGGTTTTCGTTTGTGAACATTTTGAGCAAAATAACATACAATTTTAGATCTGACTGGGAACAGCTGTCTATGCAGGTTTCAAGCCAAATGCAAGTTACTAGAATCAATGGCATAGAAATCCAGTGCTACACCACCAGCTTCTAGAAAACCTACATGCTCAGCTTTTGACCATCACATTATATCACATAAAAAATAATTAAATTAATTAAAGTGCCTGCTGATGCTTGGAGCCATATATATAAGTGGATGGTTCATGTTATGTTGTGGTCACCTACCTTCAATGTTTCAGTATCGATGACTTCAGCAAATTTTTGTATGTAGGTCTTCTCAGGAATGTTTGGACGAAATATCAACTTTCCTCCAACAAAACACAAGAAACCTTCTGGGAAGTTTGTGTTCAAAGCATACACATGACCTCTGATGAAAAAAATAAGAAAAATTTAATGATGATAATGACATACCGGTACATATTAATCCAAACTTTGTGCACACACTTGTCATTAACTTCTGTTTCATCCAATTTACCTGAGTGTATTGTGTTTTCCACTGCCCAATTTAATCATACAAGATCCATGTAATATGTACAAGTACTTTCCATCACATGCGATCACATTGCCCTTCATACAAACTAAAGAAGACAGGAAAGGAGAACATGATTAACTAGCAGATCTGCACATTACGATTGCCACAATACCATTGTCATTCTGGATTGGAGTGAACATACCAGAGCAGTAATGATCTCTGCAGAAATTGAGAGATGTCCAACAAATCAAGAATGGCAATCAATGTAGCTAAACATTTGCGATTTCAAAGTGTCTCCATCTATAACAGCTCGATTGACAAGACAAACATCACTTGTTCAAGCTCTCTTAGTCAGTATTATTTTCACTGTACAGCATTTATTTAGTGGCCAGTAATGCCTTACCTATTACTTAAGGCATTACCTGGTTTCATTCAGATCTATATACCATACCTGGATGGTTCATACCATACTTCCATGTACTCTTCAAATGTGATGCCAATATGACACTAGGATTGCTTCTCCAGCCACATCTCTCATATTGCACAGTACTCTCCAACACATTCACAAGAGGTAGCATCCCAAGCCTGTCCTTGTTTTGCTGGAGCATTAACAACGTCTTCACAAATAACCTCAATGACATCCTACATGAAATTGCAATGTGCAAATATGGCGGTGTGTGAGAAAGGCTTCTCACGCCGTCATTTTTGGGTGGCTTTTCAGCTGAAGACTGAGATAAGTCTACATAACAGCAACTTTTTTATAGTTTTTTTGAATGAATGATGATAGTTTATTTTGAAAAATTGCTTTTCACATCCAAACTTATCATTGTTTTAATTGTCTGCATTGGTTAAAGAGAATTAGATGCCACCCAAAAATGGTGGATATTCATCATCATGAGAAAGGCTAATTGCCTCATATAATGTGTCATTATATATTCACAATTTTCTTGTAGAAGGATAGATCCAGCTTGATATGTATATGTACAATTCACGGTTAAGCCTGGTTCTCACCAGCAGCAATTTTGACAGAGACTCTGTGTTTCTGATGGATGCAAATGAGTGATCTCACACACAAAAGCGTAGAGTCGCTTTTTCAGAAGTAAACAAAGTCTTTTGCATGTCGTTCATTCGATCACATTTGCCAGCAGGAGAAAAATCGCCGACAAAATTGCTAGTGTGAACGAAGTTTAACCAGTATCCAGAAGTGGGATACTGGCTTCTCAGATGAGATACTAGAACATTGAATCCTGGTATCCCGGTGGCATACTGAAAAAATCAAAATTTCAGACGCTGCTAGGACCCGTGTACAGGGGATGTCCCCTCCTATAACTGGCTGAACTAGTTCAATACGTTTTTGCTTACCAAGCCAATGTGCACACAAATATGGAACCCTGTGCAACCATGTTGATTTCATGTCGCCTGTGTCAATGCGTACTGGGCTCACTCCAGAAACATCAACACCTCCCCACTGAACAGATGGGAAGTGGAACTCCCTCACTCCCCCAGGCATCTTAGCACAATGATTCTCAAAAGATTTACCCCCTCCCTTGTGTCACTAATTTCCTCCATGGGGGGGAAGGAGGGGGAGTGTTGATCTATTCTGCAAGGACGCAGACAAAATTGAGCAAATTTAAACACATTTCTGACTTCTCCCAGCCCAGTGTGTAAACATAACTAAACCCAAAGAAAATAATTTGTTTTCTAACAGTTGTCAGAATTTGACATGTTTACCCTTGTCAAATTCCATTGTGCAAATTTGATCTATTGACCTCTATGTTAATACCTTGCACAGGCCAGAGAAAGAAGACACCCAATGACTGTTTCATTTTGAACTACAGTTATATTGTGTTCTTTTTCCATTGCACAGGCATTTTCAAGTTCACTGCCCTCCAAATTTTGCTCATATTTTAAGTCACCCGCGAGCCAGCCCGTCAGCAAATCTGCTAAACCAGTCACACAACTCAGGGGCTCGTCACTCAGTGAATTTGGCAAACAATCTTTCAAGCATTGAAATAAGATTTCTGTTGAATGTTCAGCTAAACTAGGGTCGGTTTTGCTATGCGACTTTATCAATGGAATAAGTAAAAGCAGGCTGACACGAGAGGAGAAGTCCACTCGGCGTTTAGCGACCGTTGCTAACTGTTCATCTTTTCCTTTCGTATCACAACTCAACTTTGGAGAACAAGTTTTCAACTCCTCTCTCTTTCGCCATAATTTCTCCAAGGCATTTTGTCGATAGCGAAAATATCTTGCATATTGGCTTGTCTGAGTCACGAACAAATCTTGCAGCTCTTTTGCAGTTGCATCTGCACAAAATTCACTCGAGTTTAAATCTGAAATATCTACGCCATCTCGCTGGCTGTTCGAGCTTTCCAACGCCTGCACAACTGTAGATATTTCCGTTAAATTTACGACAAATTTTAAGCCATCGTTGCTGAATAGGGTTTCTTCTTGAATAGGGCTCCAAGATACGGCCTCACCATAGCCTATAGTCCCCATAGATTTAATTTTTTAGCCTCTTTTTGAAGCACATTTTGCTTTCGCAAAGTTCACTTTCTTCTTGCAAAGTCTGCAAAATTTGACCGAGAGCCAGTCAGCCAGTTGAGAACTGGTAACTAGAACGTCACAGATGACATCATATCAACGTATATTTAAATTTTGATATTATCGGTGAATATATCCGTAATGACGTTATTTTATCTGCAATCATTTGTATCGACATCGTCCTATATATAATGTGCTTTCAAAAATACTATGAATTTTATCATAACCGTAAACAATTAGTCTCTCCTGATCTTTACATAAAAATGTATTATTATTAATTATTGTTAATTATTATAATTAAATATTAATTATTGAACAATAAATACTGATAATAAATAATTAAAATAATTAAATAGTAATTAATATTAATTATTTTAATTAAATATTAATTATTGTAATTAAATATTAAGTATTGAACAATAAATATTAATTAAATAATATTATTATTATAATTAAATATTATTATAATTAAATAATTATAATATTTAATTATAATATTTAGTTACAATAATATTTAATTATAATAATTAATATTATTTAATGAACACTTATTGTTCAGTAATTAATATTTAATTAAAATAATTAATATTAATTACTGTTTTATTATTTTAATAATTTATTATCAATATTTATTGTTCAATAATTGTTTCATTACACTAATTATTATGATTCTTCTGTATGTTAATTATGATTTGATTTATGAATAGTGTGGTGCAAAACATAGTGTTTTCATTCCGAAGTACAGTTGCAAAACGCACGAAATTCATCGATCTATTTTTGTTTAAAATACTAAAACACCGTTGGCCTTAAAGCCTTTAAGACCAATGGGGGCAATTTTTTTTCCACGAAATTATATCGATAAATTTCGTGGATTCTCAAGCAATTGAAGAAGAATGACAACCCTTCTTGACTGAGCTCACTATATATTTGTGCCGTCGAAAATTGCGAGTGACCAATAATATTTTCTTTTACCATCAGAAGACCTTTGAGGCAAAAACACCATCCATAGAATTCCAGTAAGAATCATCTCTTATTGATCCAGTGTTACTACAGGAGGAAACCCAAACTAAACTAACTTTGTTTATGGATAGCTCTATCAGTTCTCAACTGTTCTCCCTAGAGGTCCAGTAAGAGTCGTCTCTTATTGATCCAGTGTTACTACAGGAGGAAACCCAAACTAAACTAACTTTGTTTATGGATAGCTCTATCAGTTCTCAACTGTTCTCCCTAGAGGTCCAGTAAGAGTCGTCTCTTATTGATCCAGTGTTACTACAGGAGGAAACCTAAACTAAACAAACTTTATTTATACTAGTAAGAGTCATCCCTTAATCATTGATCCAGTGATCAGCTGATCAGATCGCTAGCGGCCATCTCTTTTCGCTCTAGTGCAGGCGCCCTGGTTTCAAGCGAGTGTTTGTGCGTTGCGTGGGCTGTGCGTGGGGGCCGTGCGTGGGGGTCGAGTACCACGCGAATATACGCAAAGACTAAAACCATTGAACGCAGTTGAAGAGAAAACATTTGTTTATCTTCTTGAGAATAAGTTTAACATGTTACATTACGATGTGTCCACTGATTGAACCAACATATAGTGCCCACACAGTGGACATGTATTTACATGATAGAGAAAATATAGATTATTTAACATTTTTGGTTATTTTACTGGTTTTGTCCCTCCACTGAAAATCTGCTATCTACAGGAATACAGCAAGGGCAAGCATGGGCCTATTACAGTAACGAAACAACCATTGCAATAGGTTTTAGTAAAGGGGCCGGTTGTTCAAAGCTAGATTAGAGCTTTACTTTAATCTACCTACCGTTTATTGACGTTTGACCCAATGGCCTCGTATTCGTGTCAGGTATTTACTTGTGTTTCGTGCACAATTGGGTTAAGAACTTACTTGTTATTGGGCTTAAGATCAACCAGGAACCAAATCGTGAAGGAAACATGAGAATATAACCTTCATGTGCGCCTGTCATGCCAAAACTGGCAAACACGAAAACGAGCCCATTGGGTGAAAAATAAATAAACGGTAAGGTGTATTTTACCTACGGATACCGTTTTAATATGGGTATTTGTGAACGTCTGTTTATTTCGAAACTTCAGAAGAAAAAACTCTTATAGATCCAGACAAAATTTCGGAAGAAATATCTGCGAGTTTTTATACAAACTGTCAGGAAGATTGCTTTGAATTTTGGGTTAACCTAAGGTTAATTAAGCTAACTCAGCTTTCGAAGAACCAGCCCTGATCAAACGACGGTCAGTGGAGCTGACAAGCCAGAGTTTGCTTGAGAGTAATTTCTCAACTCTATAATGCCCCACCGTTCAAACCAGAACAAGAGTTGCATGAGAGTTGGCTGTCAACTCGAACCCTACTGAACCCCCAAACCTAGTCCATTCATGTCATAGAACTGACATCTTGAGAAGTAGTGAATTTTGTAATAAAATATAAAGTTTTTTCACTAACTAGTTTCATGGTTATCAACCAATATAATATCAATCTTCAATTAAAACCATCACAGAGTGGTCACTCTACAAAATAAGTCAATGAAATGTTAAAAAGCAACTGCAGCTTTTGTGCTTAGCAAATTTATTTAACTATAAATATTCAATCATTTTACTTTACATTAAAGTCGTCTTCCTCATTTTTACATTATATTACATTGACATTTTCATTGCGCAAATTAAACATGTGGATCAAATGCGCTTTTCATCAAGTGCTATATGCTTACGTTAATACATGCTTAGCCTAGACTATTTTATCAATACAAGGGGGAGGGGTATCAATATTTTGTCAAATTGTTCCACCAACCTTACGATTCTGTAACCTCGTCGACATTTATTTCTTCGTCTTCAGAACCCTGTACGGGTTCAACTTTCTTGACGAGCGGCATTGTTTGAGTTGCCACAGAAACGGGAGCAACATTGTTGGCAGCTTCGGTCTGTGTTGGAGCTGGTAACTCAGGAAGTTCAGTTTTTATTCCATTCTTCGAACTCGTATCTAAAAGAATCTTGATTTCATTTCTCAGAACTCTCAGTTTTTCTCGCAAACTTGAGTTGTGTTTTTTGAGCTCTTCTTTCTCCTTCGTCACTTCCTTCGTTTTTTTCTCCAAATTCTGAAAGAAGACAAAGAACGATTGAAAAAACACAGAATAAGGAGTCGTTGCTGAGCCACTAGCTTTCCTGGTTTGTGTGTTTGTGGCAAACCCATCTACAATAAGTTCTTTCGAGTGTAGGTGCCCAAAATGGCAAAATCCTGATATTTATCCATACACCTTAGATTGGCATTACCTTCATAGTATACAGCTATTACAATTAAGGTTGTCCACGAGCAAAGCGGAAAAGTCGATTACGAGCGCGAAAGGCTGCTGGGAATCGCTAACAAATTAATGAATTTTCATAGCGATTCCCAGCAGCCTGTCGCGCTCGTATTCGACTTTTCCGCTTTGCTCGTGGACAACCACACTGCGATTTTTTAAATTGGCAAGGACCATTGAGGTGTGATGGGGGCAACCAATCATTGTGATGGGGGGAACCAAATCATTTGTGATAACCAAATCATTTGTGATGGGGGGGGCAACCAAATCATTTGTGATGGGGGGCAACCAAATCATTTGTGATGTCACAATTCTAGGGGGGTCCCAAGGCGTGCTCCCTTGGAAAAAAACATTGAATTTTAGATATCTGGAATGCATTTCCTGCATTGCGGAGGCACTTGGAAAAAAATGTGGATGTCTTAACAAATCACTTTTTGACAGTCTGAATCCAATACATTCAATTGATCAGAATTGAACAACTGTAAAACCACACACTGAAAAACATTGCGGGGGGAGGGGGGAGCCACCTGGTGGCACCACTGGGACACTTCTCATCCAAATAATGGAATATAAGGGAAATTTTCTGCTTTTTCTGCCAAACCACCCCAGTAAATCCTCCTAAGTGCAAATTGGCAGGAAACTGGAAATGTTGAAAGCATCTTTTAAAGAAAAAAATTGCTAATTTTTTATACTTGGATCATCGACTTCATATATAGGTTAATCAGGCAGCAGGCTAACACCAACTAGCTGACTATCAGGTCACTCATAATAGCATGGCTAATTAATAAAATACACAATACTGATGTCATCAGACAATGTCTTTTGATTTATTCTGTTTGGACTTTATACTTTAGTTCAAGGTTAAATATCTCAAGTCTGGTAAAAAAAGCTTAAATCATAAAAGAGCTTTCATCAGGAAACACTAAAGATTTCCTGCCCAACAAAACTAATTTAGAACTTTCTGAGCCATGAAAAACATTTCCCTTAATAATATACATGTCTATTTCTTTTAATATATACATGGATGTTCAAGGTCAAATGAAATTGACACTGTGATATCTTCAGACATCTGACCACAATCTGACCGACCCTAACCATAAAATTATAAAATAATATATCATATATTGACAGTAAATTGACAATAATAATCAAACCAATCCCATTCTAAAAGAGAATACTTTAACAAAACTTAAAGGTATTTCAGAATTTGGAGTAAAATACTCAGTGCTCATAAAATAAATAGATTTATAAGCTATTATTTATACTGCATGGAATATCAAATTTCAACACATTAAATGTGCGTCAATTTTTTTTCCTCCCTTTTCTAAAGGTTGTGGTTTGAAAAAAATTGTACACATTTTTTCTACAATGTTCTCATTGTTAAATATGTAAAACTCACTAAAGTCGCCAAACATTTTATGCATGCCTGCTTGCACTTGCCCAAACTTGCCCATACAACACAATAACACATTCATTAATTATCCAAATATTTCACAAGGAATACAAATCCTATACATACAATTGAAATGAACGATACATACAGACAATATTGTTCAATGCAAAACTTGGAAACCTTATATACAAGGCTAGCTTTTTAGTTTGTGGTATGCACTACACTTTTACAGAGCATATATGCAATGTTTAGCTTTTATTATTCTATGTCAATTTCCCTGCATGGTAGCCATTCCCAAACACTGATCTTCACATTTCTGAAGCCACAAATACCACACAACTAGCAAACCACCCTGACCTTGGCAGTTTGTTTTCACCCTGTCATGTAAGTGTCTAAAAACACCATGCAACCTTTCAAGACCACAAATGACAAAAAACAGTCTGCATATAAATTGAACTTACTTGGATATATCTCAATGCACTTTTGAGTATATTTAAGTTTGACGTCCTTTTATCCTCTAGGGTTGGAATTTCGTTCTTTAAAGACTCAAAGCAAACTTTCAAATGTGCTCGCCTGGGGAGAAATAGGAATTTGAATGTATCGAGGACAGAGAAATGCGACATATGGGTGGTGAAGAATTTACTGTATTGATGTCTGAAGCACGTATTAATACAATGTTTCGAACAACAAAGGTTTGTGTATTATAGGGCCTGTATAATAACTTTATTCTGTGAATATAAATAGTTTGCAAAGGTTATTATTACGGAGTCATGCACGAAGACACGGCTTGTTCTTCATATTATTAAAAACCTCGCTTTGACGGTCCAACCCTGGATTATTTTACAATCCATGGTCCAACCTACCGATTTTTTTCGAGTCTGTTATGGATTTCTCTCGTCCCCGCTCTAAAATAAAAATACATACATTACACGCTATATTTAAGCTATTATACGTTCACAAAGCAGCGAGCAAGCGAGGCATGTCAGAAATTTAGACAGTAAAAATAGAATGACATGAAAGCACACGAACTGACCCGCCTGGACGTCTTTTGGACTTGTCAGAATCGGAATCGGATGTAGCAGAAGTCGTTGGACTCTTCGATAAATTTTCTGTAAAAACCAACAAGAAAGAATCGTTAAAAGAAGCGTTCAAAATTTTACCTGTGAAAGTCACAAGGCACATGGCTAATGGCGTCTTACCACGTGTATTCGTGTCGATCTTGCTGTCTTCACTCTCCACAAAACTTGCTGCAGCGGCTAAAGTGTCCAGACTCATTTAAATGCTTTAAAAATACTCGTTAAACTTGCGCTTTCCTCGTTTCTACAAATCGCTGAGAAAAATACCCCCTTCCAAGCAGTATTCTTCAACAAATATTCGTCGAAATGTGAAAACAACAAACGTAGCTATGCTATTGTTTTTACGTGAAACGTGTGACGAGCCGCTCAGCCAATCACATTGCAGTATATTGTTATTGTTTCGAAATTTTTTAACCACGTGCTTTCAAGTCGGGGCACGTGCTTTGCTGCGTTAATTTATACGCAGCTTCGTTAATTTATGCCAACCTCTGGATTGGATAGTTTTTTAGCCTTTTTGCTTACTTTTTGTGCATAAACTATATCATAACATTCTAAAGTAACTGGAAATTATCTTTTAAAGTTCTTTTTGTGCAGTTTAATTTGTCCGCTCCTAAATTAAGTACCAGCTTTCTGAATATAACGAAAATTAAGGAAATAATTAGAATAATAATTAAAATAATTAACCTTAACCTTTACTGACCTCTACCGGAAATTGGAGAGCGGATGTGACGTTGAGGCTGGAAATCAACAAAGACACAGAGTAGATAAGACATACAGAGACGTAACTGACCGTTGTAAACACTGCGGAAGATTACGTTATCATGTACCCACTTTTTTTCAGGCGATCGGGCGAAAAATGATCAACTGCGCGTGCTCAGCAAGTTTAAAGTGAGTCGTCATCAGGTCGTCATCCAATCAGATGCATGCATCTAGTAACTTGCCGAGCATGCGCACAAAAAAAGTGGGTACACTAGTTACGTCTCTGTATGTCTCTACTCTGTGACAAAGATGAGTCACGATCGAATTGTTTGTAGATACGCGAGAATATGGACAGCTGATGATGGAAAAATAAGTATTATTTACCTGATATCTGTAAAGACTATGCATCCATGAAATGAGATTGTACTATAGATGGTTTTTGGCTTTGCTTTTTGTTGTTTGTCTCATAATATTTTGGCGAAATTACATCTCAAACTTCGAGGTTTGTTGTCATGCTGTTTTACAACGTACTTTATACACTTGATATGGCCTGCACTTGATACAAAGCAGCAATATTTCAAGCTTTTTGTTTAAATATCAAGTTCCTAATTTTGTTCTAGTTTCTTCAGAGACAAGCCATTCTGCCACAGTCTTAAAGAAATCTTTGGCTTGCCCCTCCCCTCCCCCAGGGCTTATTTAAGCATTGATTGTTGTATCTATTCTGTGGTTGTATCATGTTAAAATATCCCCATCACACAAATAGCCTGGACTGGGTTCCAGACATCATTTCCCACACTCATTAGCATGGGAAATGACATCTGGGTTTGCAGACTAGGGCTGGGCAAACTAGGAAACATTGTTAATGGAAACATTTGAGAATTACATTGTTTCCTGGAAACACACTCCTGGTTTGGCCACTCTCTAGAAATATGGCTAGGACACACTCACTCAGAGTAACATAAAAAACATTAGGAAACAATGTTTTCTAGTTTGAATAATGCCCAAGCTTACAAGATTATTTATTTTCTTTAAATAGACAGAAGAATCAATCGAGAATGAAAATCAAGTGGCGCCCACATTTAAATGGATTGATCAGAAAGCTCTCAAGAGATGTCGAAATTCAATGCAAGGCTCAAGAATTATTGCAGATGACAGAGGGTATATATGTGAATGGTCAGACAGATTGTCAAATGGTTGCTGTTTTCCAAAAGGTGTAACATCCAAGCAATATGTTTGCAAAAGTTGTCTCGCAAACCAGTGTTGCAATGTGTATGAGCATTGTGTATCTTGTTGTCAACATCCAGATAAGGTATGATCATGATAGAGATCTGTGACACCAGTATGGGTAGTGCTAATAATAGAGCTGCAGATTAATAGGGATACAACTACCTGAAAAATACAAGGAGAACTTCGACGTTTCAAGAAAACGATTTTCATTGGGAAGTTAGTCTAGTCTACAAGACAGCTTGGCCTTTTATGGATTACCACTTTGAAACTTTTCAATGTTGTGTTTATCTTGCAGCAAACTCTCCTTCGCTCAATCTTGGCCAACAACAGTCGAAAAATTTTGAAAATGGTTGGAGATCAATTTGAGTTTTGCTTGGCAAAATGTCGTACATCTTCTGAGGTAAAGTACACAAAATATTCTTCCCAATTTTTGTTTGTCTGTATAAGTATTTGATGGAAATGTTGTGTGGGATGATATTCATTTTCTAGGATCAATAAAGTATGTAGTGTGAGCAAAGCTGCACCATGATCAAATCTAGTTATTTTTCCAGCAGTGGACTTCTAGTTTAGGTTCATTGCAATGCTAGCTGGCCCCAGTACATCAAGGGTGCCAATCTCTCTAAGTCTCAATGAAGAGATCAATAGACCACTGTTATTAACTTTGATTACTCTTTAGAGTGTCATCCATGAGAACCACTACCGCAATAGTAAGCATAAACATTGCTTTGGCACGAAGAAACCTGAAACAGAACCGTCCTAATTCAGCTTCTTCCTGAAAGAAAAGCTTACCAAGTCATCACACACTTTGAGTGAAAATCCAAGTGGAGTCTGTGACAGTAACAAGACTGTAATGGACTGAGAGACTAATAATCTTTGCAAATCATCTATTGGATCAGCCAAAGAGAAAGACAGTCTCATCAACTACAATGTGTAGTTACCACAATAGAATATCTTATTCAGACCACACGACTTTGCTTGTCAGTAAATATAGGCGCCATTTGTATTGTACAAGATTTGCGTTATTTTTGCAATCCAAGAGATTTTTGAAATGAAGCACCGTCACCCAATGTTGCAAGCTAGAAAATAATAATAAAATAAAAAAATTTTAAACTGTATAAACAGGACTCGGTTTGCAGTAAACACGTATTAACAAAGTTAGTAGCCTGTGTGCAGGCCCACCGAGGTATTCTTCCCTCAGTGGGCCTGCACACAGGCTAGCTACAAGGTTAGTATTGTATCTGGTTGCCGTAAAAATTGCCTTGTGTAATGTAGCTTTACAATGTTTCAAAGTAACATAAAAAGATCTGACTCTGGACATTGGTTATAAATATCAATAACAATGTACAAATAGTAAATAGTGATTTGTTCTAGAAACTGTATATAATTAATATATTATTTTAACATTGATACTTTATAATGGTCTTTGCCAGTGTAGGTAGTGGCAATAATAAGAAAGCTTCACATTGATAGGGAGAAGGAGAAAATTGCAGCAAAAACAACAGGCCTTTAATATTTTACCTTGTTAATTTCTTTGTGTCTTTGTTGGCTGACCACTTCTTCAATTATCTCACCATCCCCTTTCACAAGCCTATGATCAAAATATTAACCCATTCAGTGGCTGCTGCTTTGATGAGTAAAATCACCTGGCATTAGACAGAGCAAAGATGCATCAGGCTGCAATGCCACTTAATTAAAGGGTTAAAATTGCCCGGCATAAGACAGAATGGAATAACAAAGTAGGCAATCCTGTGGCAATGCACCCAGATGCGCCATACTTTATTAGTTTACTCTGTCTAACGCCAGACTATTTTACTCGTCAGGGGGAGAGTGTTGCCACTCAATGGGTTAATCATTTACCAAGAGACATGGCCAGATTATCTGGTTAGCCCATCAATGTCCAGCACTTTCCTTTGACTGGCAAAATTCCAACTACCTGTTTCTTCCTGTCTCTGGATCAAAAACTCTCCTCACTTTGCTCTGCTGTTTTTCATATTCTTCTTTCGTCATTGGAACCATCGCCTGTCTGAAAATGATTTATAAAAAAAACATTAATGGTGACCTCGAACTTGGTTATATGCAACCATAAAAGGTATTGGTAAACCAGCCAAGCAACAAACCTTGTTCTAGCAGGTACTTGATTTTGTGACATTGCTGATTGTGCTGGCACAGGTCCAGGCACCAAATCTAATAATCAAATTAAATCTAATTTTTAAACCGGGTCTTATAGTTTTGAGTAGGAATGAGGCAACATTAATATTCATGCCTTCCTACCTTTATTTTCAACAGCTGTTTCCAAACCATCTGCTTTTCCCTTCCTTTTCCTTTCCCTCTTTTTCCGTTTTTCTTTCTTTCTTTGCTTTCTTTCCTTCTTCTTGTGTTTTTTACCCCTCTTTCGTTCACTCTCTGACGTAGACGGACTGCTTGACTCACTATGTTTTCTTTTCCTTGATTTTAATTTTTCTCTTTTTCCACTTTTTTTAATCTTGCTGTCAGAACACTCCCCCCTGTCGCGTTGGGAAGTCTCATGTGTGACATTTTCCCCGCTCCTTCGTGTTAAATGATCTTGCTTATTTTCTTTTAAACGACGTTTCGCCTTCTCGCTATCATCCTCGCTGCTTGAAGAACACGAATGGCGTCTCTTGGAGGTTTTCTTTCGCTTTTTTGACGAAGATTTATCCATCAAACGAACAAAACAAATTCACGAATTTCTTCGTCTGTAAGATCTGCAAGCGAATATCAGGGGGGGGGGGGGGGTGTATTGCCACTGATCTATATAATATACTGCAAAAAGAAAAAACATGGATACTTATATAAATCTATGTACTGTATAAATCAATAACCAAAGAAACATATTTTGAATACAATCCTTGGATATAAAGTAGAAATAAAAAGATATAAATTTGTTATATATACTTTATACTTCAAACTTTCGCTAAAATTGATGTACATGACAAACTCATGAACGTATAGTACACTTTTCCGGGGATATATCTCGTACATACAAGCTGCCGTGGGGTTCAAAAACCCGTTTACTAAATATTTGTCGTCAAAATGGCTGCGAGTTCGTCTGGTTCAAGAAGCTTTCCTGGTCAGTTTAGTCCGCGTTCAAGTCACTCCCGGTCAGCTAGCTGGTCGTACACAAGAGGAGATGGCCAGATTAACCTTTCCTCACATTTAGAACCGTTAACTTCTGTGATACGCGAGTTAGGGCTCGGCTTTGGGCCCCCCAGTTATAGTGGCAATGAAAACCGACATGAAACTAGATCTGATACTGTGTATGTGGATATAGGAGAAGGCGAGGAAGACAGGGGGAATCCTCGTGTACTGTCACGCCATCATAGCACAGAGATGAGCAGCAACAGTCAATCAGATTTCGACACAGCAGGGAATGACAGTTTACCGACAGGCACTCAGAATACTGGCAATAATAATGGGAGGACAAGTGGGGATAGAATGGAATTCCAGGGGACAATAAAGTGGATAGAGAATAGTGTCCCATTCTTGTTGTTGTTACTCAGTCGTATCATGTGGGATCATCGCTTGGGTACGGTGCTCATAGACCTAACAGCTTATAAGGCCGCTGTCCATTTCAATCGTATCGTAACATTTTCTTTTGTGTCAAAGTCATTAGTTCCACTCTAGTGTTACAAGAAATATGCTATGCTTCGATACGGTTGAAGTGGAAAACAGTCTTTACACTCCATTCATTTCCATGCCAAGAAAATCCTGACGGCATGAAAATGCGACCGGTTACAACAACCCACATGAGTTATATAGGGTGCATTATGCACAGTGTGCCTTAGTGGGTTCACAAGAGACATGGGCAGGCAAGGCCAGTCTTCGGGGGGGGGGGGG